AAGTACAGAACGTTACGGATAGAAGCACCTTATTGGTGCTCTTGGTCACCAGCCAAACCTAATAACTGAATGTGAGGGTTGGAACATAAACCAACTGGTTATTCACAGAATTTCTTTGGGGACACAGTCATAGGCCAAGTCCATAAAGTACATACGGGCTGAATGATAAAACCCCCAAGACACCCCGAGCAGCTCTGCAAGGGTAAAGAGTTAGTGTTCCAGGCGTGGACAGGAATCTGTATTTCTCCTCCTGAAGTTTAATAAAATTCTGAAATTAACTTTTCTGGAGGTTGAGAACTGAGGTACAATAATCAGTGTGGCTATTGTTGCAAAAAACAATGCTGGAGGAGGCTACTGGAAAGGGGAGGTGCTCTGTTTGCCTCCATCTGCAATGTAGGAGTGATTTAGATTTTACAAGTTGAGGATGATGACATATAGCCCAGTCAGGTGGGACAACCAGCATTAAAATAAATCTGGTCACATTAGTAATAACTAACCTGCAATCAAACCAGGTTAAATGCAGCTTAAAAAAAAAAAATCATACTGCAAAATATACCAATATATAAATGTACGTGGGTGTCTCTAATATATCTCAAACTCTTTTCAGTTTACCGTTGGGAAAGCTTAGAGTTGTATTTGTACACCTGCATGGGAGCTCTCCTGTTACGGAAAACATCCAAGGCTACAGCCCAGGTCTAAAAACCACTCAGATGACATACAGCAAACAATAATTATAAAAAACTGGTCCAGATCTGTATCTTCATTTCAAATGTGTACTCCAGTAGAATAACCATAAACCTGAGTGGGTACAAAGCGGACTGATGATGTGTGATGTGGGTGGAGGTGGGCAATACAGTAACGTAAATGCATAGAATACAGTTTGGCTACATGTGCTCACAAAAATAAGCAATGGTTTTTAAAAAGTGCAACTCTCTGGTTGTTTGGCTTCAAATAATCATAGTTCAGTAAAATTGCAGGAATAAAAATGAGCCTATTTTCTCACAATGTTTCAGACATTTAGTCTCCAACAGCGGCAACCCCAGTGAGATACCACTCTTAACTGTGTTCCTATAGCCAAGTTATTGTAATACTGAAAATTACGTTTTATTTTCTCCCTTAGATTTGTATTAAACTGGATCAAATATATATATATGTTAATATCGTTATGGTAAATGGATCTAACTGTTACAGTCATGTGGTAGAAATTCAATCCTCTGACAGCCCTGCTGTTAAAGTCATTAGAAGTGGTCTTTAAGTAGCTTTACCCCCCACACACACACATCTAGCAAAACTGATGAAAAAAAAAACTTCATTTTCAGTTATGGCTCAGATTTAAGAAATGGCAAAACAAACAATGTAGAGAAATTAAATCTAAAGTGCAGGAAAAAAAAAGAAGAAGCTGAATAGGCCCTAACCTGCTCCGTAGACGTCCGTAGACCGGTCTGTGGTGCACCGCTGATCCTGATTCATTTTTTATTTTTTTCAATATAAATGTTAAACATCATGAATGCCCTCAAACAATAAAACAATACTGATTTGTGTTATTGCTGTCTGCTTTTTTTCTTACATTAGCATAAATTAATGTAAGCATTGTGTTATTATAAAGTGGTTTCTGTACCAGAATGAGAGCTGTGGAAACCATCTTTGTTTGTCCGACATGGTCCAGTATCAGTGTTGCTTTGGCGTGGGTATCTTCTTTGTCACTTGTTCATTCCAAACCTCTCCTGACACCACACATGCTCAGCTGCATTCTCACAAGGCAGCCCTCAGTATTTTGTCTGTCACAACATCAACAGCCTGCAGCCATGCTCGCCAGGCATTTCCACAAGGAAGCAAAATCCCCTCTTCTCTCAGCTCACCTGGCAGATAAAAATAAAAAATAAAACGAAAGACTTGGTGGAAAACTTTGAATCCAAGTGGTAGTGAGCATCTTTGATGATGAAAGCACACCAAGACATGAAGTAAGGAGGAAAGCAGCTTAAAAAAACAAAAATAAAAGTGATTTTCAGTGCGTTGTTTTGGTTGTGTTGGCCCCAGAGTAAGGGACTGACGAAGGCTCAAAGAACAGCAAAGGACGAGAATGAAACCATAAAATGTCTCTCTGACTTTTTCGGAGCTGAGCCCTTGGTCTGTTTCTAATGAACTCGTTTGTTCTGTTTGTTGGCTTCACCTCTACCAGAAACAAAACTCCATTTGCTGTTCAGCCTTTCTGACAGCTCTGTTTCAAAATCTGTTCAGCATCTAGCAATGTTTGATGGTATTACAGTTGTGTGCTTAACAAATACCAAACGCAAATCTTGAACTGTCCCCTGCAGGGCTTTGAGCCGGAGCCTAGAACTCTTTTATTTTGACAGTAACTCTCGGGCTTACTAATAACACAGTTATGAACAAATATGACTGCCTTGAATAAATAAAACCTATATCGGACATGTAATCTGAAAATTATTACATAAACACTCATTATAAACACAACAGCCACTTACGAGCTTCCCAATTTCATTTCAGAGCTGCCTCTTCAAGTAAGCGTTTCCACTTCCACCATAAAAAAAAAAATCTCTGCCACCTAAAAGTACAATCAATTTAATTAAAAACACACAAATATAATTAAACAGCACAACTAAACTGCAAATAAGTTTTACAGGTTAAGTGGGTCATTGATAAAATTTTTATTATTTATTAAAAAAATGAGAGAAATGTTTGAATTTGTCAAAATAACAACAATCGAAATGAAAGTGAAAGCACACGAGAAGATAGGGGTTAGGATGCTTGAGAGAAGCAAAGCGTGCTCTATTCACACAAGAAGAGAGCTGTTGTTGCTCTCTAAAATAGATGTTGAATCAATTGTTTGCTTATGTACGTAAACGTAGATGTTTAACAACCTGTTAAAATACACCAGAATGCAGGAAATGGCATCTACTTTATTCAAAGTTTTCTGGTGGAGGACCCTCAGACACCGCTGCTATTTGTGTTCTGACATCATTTCGTTTGCAAATTAAGCACCGGTCCTCTGCTGCTAAAGGTACTGCCTCCAAATATTACCCCCTAAAATAACAGGGTGATTAAAGTTGTTATTTGCTGTTTAACTAATATTTCAGATCTCTTGAATGGAGGGATTTATAGAAAGATTACAAACAATTGTTTTTCTGCTTAGCTCGTTAAACAACCTCATCTTGTGAAAATGGGAATTTAATTTTGACAGGATTGGCATGTGAACGGTTCAAACAAGGGCCTGGCCAAAGTAGAAGTTTAAAATGACTCTGATCCCAAAAAAGAAGTTTTTATTGGTCTTGGCTCTTCTCAGACTAGCTGTTAGCTTGTCAACCCAGTCAGAATTAAACTCCATTTTTCTAAATAGATGCCATTAAAAGAGCCATCTAGAACAAGATAATGATTGTTCATAACTTTCCCAAAGAAATCCACTTGAAAATATCTGAACTGTCTCCGGTTGCACAAAATCTGTTTTAAAATTACTATTTGGAGTCAACAATGTCTGTCTGTTAGCAAAATATCTCAAACCACTGAACATAATGAAAAGGAAACATGAATAGATGTGCATCTAAAACTAGTTAACTTTTGTGCAACCCTAAATCAAAATGGCCACCATAGACTGATGATTGTAGGAAACACACGAATGGCCCTAGTTAAGTCAAAATCAAATATATTAAATAAAAATTTGATGTAGTTGTAGCTGAGAGTCAATCACAACACCTACTCTTAACATGACATCACAAGGCAACACATGAGACATGGCCCTTCAAGGAACTTGACATTAAATCTTATAAAGTCTTGTTCTTGTGTACCATTAATATTCCAACAAAAAGCAACAAAGTTAAGATTGTAAACTGGCAGCGCTCGTTTTGTGAACACAAAGTCACATTCTGGTTTTTGGCCAAATATTTAATTTCCTCCACCTCCTCTCTTTCCGTGAGTCTCTGTCCCACCCTCCCTTCTCTCTCCCTCTCTCTGAATAATATGCCACTGGGAAGTGCAAAAAAAAATAAAAAAATAAAAAATGGAGAGCACGGATCCCCACTCCTCCGCTCTTCTCGACTGCACGTCTGTGATGTCATAATCACTCACATCAAAGGCTGTGCGCTCAACACGGCGACTGTCAGCTTCCCTGGAGGCGTCATTAAAAACGAACAGAGCAAACCGAGCCGGGCCTGACAGAAACGCATCAAAACTTCCTTCTGCACACCAAAGCGCAGGCACCACTCTCAAGTGCACTCGCACACCAAGCACTCAGGTGTAGCACATACTATTAAAAAAATAAAGGCACGCACTTGCACATGCGAGTGAGAAATCATAAAATTACGTCAACGCTAAAAAGGGAAAGAACTTTCCAACTCACATGCACCTTCTCCTAACGAATAAATATCTGCTCTCCTCTGTGCAGAGCTCACTCCGTCTATCACGTATGAATAGGAGCTAAGCATTCAAATGAGCATGCTTTGCATCCAGCTGCACCGTACATGAGACTAATAACATTCACAGCGTGTGAACATCTGTTGTAGAGACGGGCTGGCGTGATGCATTCACGATGCCCACTTGTGTGTTGCGTCACAATGTAGAGCGTGCACGAAAATGTAGAGAGAGCCTGCATCCATCCGCCCACCCACTTCTCATCCCTCTCCATCTATCTCAGATGTTTGCCCACACACACATGCATGCAGACGCATGCGCAAGCACACACTCTTTTACACAAACTGAAATGGGGGGAGGCTATAAATAGTGTGCCTATGATGTGATGCTGTGTGGTTTTTCCCTATGGCTTTGTGTGTATGTGACTGTCAAAGTGAAGGGAGAGAGAGCCAGCGAAAGGAGCGTTCAAGAAAAAGGAGAGCAGCGCTCGTCTCCGGCATTAATCTGACTCACGATCAGCAGAGATGGAGATTCCACTTGGATTTGAAATATTTACATGCTAAACGAGCATCTGATTTTTTTTATTTGTACGTTTCTGCAAGGGTGAAGCTGTGTTGATGTGTGTGTGAACGACTTACTCCTGGCAGGGTCTTCTGCTCATGCAATGCATTCTGGGCTTTCAGGGCTGACTCTCTGGCACAGTAGGTGAGGAAGGCACAGCCTGGGGAAAAGCAAGTAGAAGAAAGAGAAAGTTATGGTTATGTTTTGTGAAATGGGGATGGACAAGGGCAGCTAAGAAAGATGATTGCAATCATTAGGAAACATCAAACTGTAACACAAACCCAGACTAAGAAGAAACCTGGAGCCACACCTCTGAAACTTTGTCCACATGGGCACACTGGGAATGCACTTTTGTTTGTGTGTGCCTGTTTGTGCACCATGAACTTTATTTATTTGACTGAACAAGCAGCGCATTTCAGTACGCACAAACTCCAAAGAGAAACAAGCGAGACCTAAAGCTGCATCGACGTGCGATGATTTGTGCTCACTGTTTGTGCGAGAACGACTTTCCCCGAATCAACGCATCAAATCTGACGGAGCTCTGTCTCCTTGGCAGTCTGAAATTGCAGTTATCCATTTGTCCATCGCACTCTCCTGGCTGCTGTGACGGGATAGGCAGCCTGACAGCTTCTCCCTCTCCTCTCCTTTCTCCACCCTACATGTCTCCACCCCCCTCCCCAAGTTCCATATGCTCCCGTACTACCCAGAATCCTCGGTTTTTGTGAGCACCTGGGTTGACATACGGAGGTGGGAAGGAGATGGAAACACAGGAGACAGAAGACGACAAAGCCGCGGGGAACGTGTAAGCCGTTTCCCTCACCACCCCCTGTTGACAGAGAGGCACACGCCGGCGTCAGAGCTGACAAGCCGTCAATCAGCAGATCAGGGCTAATGACTCATGGGTTTGACAGTTTAATAAAGCTTTACAAAGACAACTGCACTGAAGGCTGCTGAGCTGCAACACGCTCTCAGTTCAGGCTACCAGCAGGTGTTAAACTTGTTTACTCCCAATCTCTTTTCCCTCCTATGAACCTTTAGCACTACTGTAGACCTAAACCTTTAGTCCTAAACCTACCCCCTAACCCACTGCTCCTTATGGGGCCCGGGCTTTGGGCCCCATAAGGAGCAGTTGGTCCTCACAATGTACTATGTGTGGAATAACGGACCTAACAAATACAAAGACGGTCCCCAACCCCACACTCACATATTGTAATTTATTCACGTTAACTTGTATTATTTTATTTTTGTGGTTAAAAAAAATAAATCTTGTAAAACAGAAAAAAAATCATCAAACTAACATAATCAAACCCAAAGCTAAAAGCTAATATTAGCAAATGGTAGTCAAAAGCTTGGAAAAGCACAGCTAAAAGTTAGGGAAGCATATATATATGTATTATATTATAATGTATATTTAAATGAGCAAATCCAAGGCAAAAGGTAAAAAGCAGCAAAAGTGCAGCTGAAAGCTTAACTTGGGGAAACTGTAGTTAAATATTACATTCAAATAAACAGTGGCTAAAAACTACAAATTAGCAAGAAAGTGGCTAAAATGAACACAAGAGAAAAACAAACCAACTGTGCTTCAATAAATTCCATAAAAGAATGTTTTTTTTAAAGAATTGAGAAGAACTTAATGCATTTATGTAGAGAGCATTTTGTAAAAAAAGTTAAATAATCCAGAAAGCATCAATGCTAAAAATACTAAAAGCCATGTCACATTATTCCTGATTGAGTCAAATGTTTTATATATAAATGGTTTAATCAGCTAAAACTATGCAGTAGTTTAAATACAAAAAATGTTCAAAAGAGACTGAAAAAATAAATAATAATGTGATTTCTGGCTCAAATTTAAAACTATATTTAGTTGTGAATTTGAAATTAAAGACATCAGATCTGTTGAAGTGAAGTTGTTTTTTTTTCCAGGAAGCGTATTACATTTTAGCTCCAGTCTACACTGGAAGTGCTACAGCTAGTTGCTGCTACAGCAAAAAAACAAACAAACAAACAAAAAAAATGAAATGTTAAGTAAATAACTCAAAGGAAAGTAGGAGTATAAGGATTTATAAAATAGCACTCGTGCAAAGTGCTCTCAATGTTTTAAAATGATTTATTTTAGTGACTAGTTGACAACCCATCAATCCTGTCAGAATTAAACTTTACTCTTGTCCCAACAGGTAATATTTGTTCCTAACATTTTCACAGAACCCCACTTCAAAAGATCTGAATTATAACTTTGATAAGAATTTTGACAACTTAAAGAAATCTAAGTGAGCAAAAGAACCTCATCATTTTATCGTTTTTTTTGTAGCCCCATCACTGTGGGAGTTCTGCTCTGCCAGCTCCTGCTCCCACTGTCAGACTCTAAATAGCCACACCTGTGATCCTGCGACGTGATGAGCATGTGGAGTATAAGAGGCCTCAGAGGACACTCAGCCAGTGCTGGAGCATTACCTGCCAACGGTAGTCTTGCTCTAGCTTTATTCTTTGTGTTCAAAGCTAAATATTAATGATTTGTGCTTTTCTCTGCGCCTCCAGCACGTTACCTTTGATGTCCTGTTTCTTCAATCCTCCTCTGTGTCTCATCAGCTGCCTCCACGTCTTCCTACCACTTGTCGTTCACCTGCACCTCTTCCACCTGGAACCGTTTGGATCTACTCTCCCCACGCCTGACTTCAACCACCAACGAAAGAGAGAACTGCAACATCATTATCGCCCTCGACATCCTAGACTCAGACCTTCTCTCTGCTCCTCAGGGTTCCAGCCCCTCCCCCTGGTTTATTGCTTCTATCTCACCTTGCAAATAAACATCAAACCGATTCTAAGTCTTGGTCTCTGCTCTCACTGGTCCTTATATCTGAGTTTAGACACAATTGTCACAATCATGCAGGTTTCTGCAAACAGTTTGCTGCTGCCTTTACAGTAAACAAGCACATAAAGATACTAAAAAAAACCCACAATTTCTTCACTGAGCATCATAATCAAGGCGTTAAACAACTATCGTAGACCCCTCCCACAAAGATGCAAACACAATCCAGTTTAAAGGAGAAAACAACCTTTTAGGATCTTTCTATTTCTGCTCGCCTGTGCCTATAACGCTGTGTGCTGGATGTGGAAGCAGCGCGCCTTCATCCTTTCTGCTCCGAGTCTTTAACCCCAGGTCGTCCTGATGGTGGGACACTGGGGAGCTCAGCCTGTTGGTGTTTTTAATTAACGGGCCACTCTCTCATTAGGCGGAGTGGGAGCTGGCCGCTGACAGCTTTGCTACCTCCTTGTCCTCTCAGGGCCTGTCGTGTTAATGCTACATGCTGGCGCTGTCCCATAGGAAACACACACAAACCTCTCATTTGTGTGTCTGACGCTCACATGCATGTTTGGTGCAAATGCACCCACCACGACTTAACGCATTCAACACTGAAAATAAAAAAAAAGCTTTCTTGGAAACAACGGAGCAAACATTTTGATCATTTTCTATTACGGGTTAAACATTGCAACATCAAAATGCAAAAGTGATAATAAAGATGCAATAAAACATAAAAGGTTAGAGCACTTTTATGAAAATGAAAGAATATACACCTGCAGTTGGAGTTTTTAGTCATAAAAATGGAAGCAGAAATGTTCTATTACAAAAAGCACATAAAATATTTATTTTTCTGTTGAACGAGTTAATTCATTGTCTGGCAACATTCTTTGTTTTCACCCACACTGATGCACAGCGAGGGGGAACAGTTGCTGGTTTACAAAACGGAGGAAAAGGAATCAACAGAATGTTGAATGAACTTATTAGATTTCTGCACAGAAAGTCAAACAGGAACTCAACATTTACTTTCATTGTACACGTTTGCAAGATTGTTGGTTATGTCACGAGCATTGTTGTTCAAATACTTTTTATATTTGAACAACAATTAAAATAGTTTAAACGCAGAAATAAAACCAATCGACGAGCAAACTGATCACTACTGTTGAATCAGTCAATCATATATTAAATATCAACCATCATAACAACAAAAAAGGTTGAATCATGTCATCTGGACTTCGTTTTTTTTGTTAAAAAGAAACGTTTCGCCCCTCATCCAAGAGGCTTCGTCAGTCTGAGGCCTAGACATCTGGTATTACCCAGAAGCCACCCTGACTCTTGTGTTTCAAGCCTGCCTCAGATACCCCTGAAGTCTGGCCTTTTCACTAATGGTTTCAAAAACACAAAGTTTGTTTTCTCAGTCATCCAGGTATATAACAACAAAAAAGGTTG